CCATATGATTTCACCAATATGTGGAATCTAATGAACAAAATGAACTGATGAACAAAATGGAACCGGGAGCGTGGATACATGAAACAGACTGGCCGGTGCCCAAGGGGAGGGGTGGGTAACTGGATAAAGAAGGTGAAGGGAATAGCTAAAGGACATATATTCATACCCCAGGGACACAGACAATAGTTTGGTGAAGGTCAAGGGAGGGAGGGGCGGGGATGGGTGGAAGTGGGCAAAGTGGGGGAAAATGGGAACACCTGCAATAATGTCAGCATTACAAATTTTTAATAAAAAAAAGAAAACAAACAACCCAATTATAAAATGGACCAGCAGACACATCACCAAAGATACAGAAATAAGCACATGAAAAGATGCTCCACATCATATGTCACCAGGGAAATGGAAATTAAAACAACAGTGAGATACCACAAGGCACCTATTAGGAGGGCCAAAATCTGCAACACTGACAACACCAAAGGCTGGCAAGGATGCAGAGCAACAGGAACTCTCACTCAATGCAAAATGGAACAGCCACTTCGGAAGACAGTTTGGTGGTTTCTTATATAACAAAACGTACTCTTATAATCATGCTTCTTGGTATTTATCCAAAGGAACTGAAAACTTATGTCAACATAAAAACCTGTGCGCAAATGTTTACAGCAGCTTTATTCATAATTGCCAAAACTTGGAAGTACCCAAGATGTCCATCAATAGGTGAATGGATAAATAAACTGTGGTACATCAAGACAATGGAATAGTATTCAATGATAAAAAAATTTTTTGAAAAGCTCTCAAGCCATGAAAAGACATGGAGGACCCTTAAATGCATATTATAAAGTAAAGGAAGCTAATCTGAAAAGGCTACGCTCTGTATGATTTCAACTATATGACATTCTGGAAAAGGCAAAACTATAGAGACAGTAAAAAGATGAGTAGCCCAGGGGATGAGGAAGGGGGAGAACAGGCAGAGCACACCAGGTTTTTAGTGCAGTGAAACTATTCTGTATGGTACTACAATGATGGATACATGTCCTTATACTTTTGTCCAAACCCTCAGAATGTACCAACTAAGAGTGAACCCTAATGCAAACTATGGACTTTGGGTGTTTATGATGTGTCAATGTAGGTCTATCAGTTATAACAAATGTACCACTCTGGTGAGGGATGTTGATAATAGGGGAGGCCAAGCATGTGTGGGGGTAGGGAGCATATAAAAAGTCTCTGTACCTTCTGTTCAGTTTTGCTCTAAAAAAATGTCTTTAAAGCCTGAGCCTGAAACATGTGCCTCCAGAAGCTGAGGACATGCTTGTTGAATTGAATTAGTTATTACCTTGGAGGAAGAAGGAAGCTGGGAATTATTTCTTGAATTAATAAAATTTCAGAATTTCTGCTGAGGTCCGAATATAGGAAATGGGCTGGAACTTAGTGGGAAGATAGGGTTCTCCTTCATTGATCAGCTTCATGAAAGTGGCTTTGGCCAGGGTCCAGCAGGCGAGAGGCAGGGCGACCTCTGCCCACTTGGGAAGACTCAGATAACCCCATGTTTATTTTTAGGTGTTTTTGTACAGAACCCAAAAAAACCTTTGGACACTGGGCTCATGTCCAAGGTGCAATGAGCAATAATCAGTAACAAAAGCATCAGACCCTCTCTTGAAGAGCCATGTGCCAATCCAGGGACCCCTGATCTCCCCAAACTGTCAGATTTGATCCACAGAACCCTGTCATTTATACACAGCTAGAGAGCTGGGCCACCAGGCTCTAGTTCCTAACCTGATACCTGACACTTTCTGTGTGGCCTCAGACAATTCCCTTCCCCTCTCTGAGCCTCAGTTTCCTCATCCATCAAATAATGGTAAGGGTGGACCACATGATGTCCAAGGAACCTCACAGTGCCAGCAAACCACATCTCATCCTGGATGCTAACCCTGGTCTTGGGCATGGAAACCCAGCCTTTAGGGAAATGCTTAATTAGCTCATCTGACCAGAATTTCCCCTAAAAGCACATTTAGATCCAGCTGCAACTAATAACCATTGAGTACCTACTATGCACTTAAGCTATCTCATTAACTGCCTCTTCAGGACCAGCCCATAAGAAAATTGTCATTGTCCCCATGTCACAAATGACAGCCATGAGGGTATACTCATCCACAGCATGGGCTATGTGATCACCGAGGCCTGGGGTTGATCCTGGCTGTCCACTTCCTACCTGAGGGTGCTTGAACAAGCTAATACTTAAACCCTCCAAGCCTTAGTGTTCTCATTTGCGAAATGGAGATTATGCTAGCCCCTGTCTCATGGGGTTGTTTCAAGGTTTGAAAGCAATGGGCATGTGAAGTGCTCAATAACTATTACCTATTACTACTTATAGGTATTATTACTGCTATCATTACCATTCCTACTAGAGATGAGAAAAGTAGACTAAGAGAGGGTGTGCAAAAGGACATCACTCAAAACACCACAATGTTCTACATTTTAATCAAGTCCACAGAAAGGCAAGGTGGGTCATGACCGAGGTACAAAGTCACCATGTAACTCTGGCCAAGCTACTCAACCTCTCAGTTTCAGGGTCTCCACCTATAAAACAGGCAATATCTCCCCAGTTCATGTGATTAATGTGCTAATGTAGATGAAAAGCCCCTGGCAGAATGTGGAATAAGCAGAAGGCCATGAAAGAATGGTCCCTCCCTTCCCATATGCCTCTTCTGAAATCCCCAAGAATGTAGCCTGCCAGTCCTTCCTTGAAGCTCTGTTCCTGTATTAGAATTCTCTGACAAAAAACATTCTCTAACACACAGGCTTAATGGCCCAGCCAACGGCAAGTGGCCCCACTGTAGGGCTAAGCCTTCTCCAGAGGGCTGAGTAGAACCAAATGCTGCCATGGCCCATGTCCTGGGAAGCTCAAGCCCACACGTGCACACGGACAACCCACTCACAGGCACGCACAAAACCTCGTCCAAGAAGCCCTCCCCACAACCATGCACACCACCACCCAGCCAAGCCCCACTGGCCTCGGCATCAACTCCGAGGACGTGTAATCATAGGAGAAGCAATAATAATACCAACCATGACACCTCCTCCCTTTCCTGATGGTTCACAGTGCACTTTCCCTGTTATCTGAGTAGGGCAGAGGTTGTGCTTTATACATCTTTAGATACCCACTGAATAATGCTAGGTACAGAGTAGGTATTCAGAAACTATTTCTTGAATGAATAAATGTTATCTTTATAACAAGATTTTTAAAAGTAGCCATTACTCAGCACTTACTATTAGTTACACACCCTGCTAAATACTGAACGTGCATCCTTGCATTTCCTCCTGGCAATCCCCCCATAAGGCAATCTCAGTTATCAATCCCTGTTTTGCAGAGGAGGAAACTGAGGATCAGAGAAGTTAGGTGATGTGCCCAAGGTCATAGCTAGTGAGTAACAGACCTGAGATGTGAACTGTGATTCCAGACCCTGGCTCTTACCCCCTTTCAGTTGTTCCCCTTCTCTTCAGCCAGAAGAGGCAGCAAGAAGGGGGCAGAAGCAACGTGTATATAGTCTGAAGAAGTAGTTCAAGAATGCAATAATTTTTATATTTGAAAAACCAGAAAATTCTATTATCTTTATGATACAAACTAGAGAAAGCCAATATCAGTAATATCATATTGACTGAAGGGACATGAGTCTCTGTTCTACTCAGGTCTCAGCTTCCTTCTAGCCCATACCACTGGGCTTGTTGCTATCCCTTCTGTGCTCTCCTAATTCGCCTCCTGTAGGTCCACCCACCTCCAACATTCTAGCATTTTCCTCTTGATCCCACCTACTACTGGGGTAACCATCTTTTGTAAAAGGGCCCAGAGTTGACAGTTCCCGTTTTCTCAGAGGTTTTATTTCCAGCTCCTGACCCAGACAGTAGCTTACAATCAAGCTTATGAGCCACTGCCTACCAGAAGCAGGTAGGCAAGGAATGATGTGGTCAGTTAGGATGACCCAGGTATAAGAAGACTTCATTTTCCTCAAGAAAAAATGAGTGGCACAAAGGAGGAAACTAATGGCACTGATGCTCAGCGACAGGAGCAGGGGTAACAAGGAACGGTGGAGACTGTAGCCAACCATGTATCCTTAGGAGGAGGTGGCTGCTGCTAGCTCAGTCACATTTGGCCATATAGGTATACAAGTTCAGTACTGCCAAATCTTTCAATTTTCCATGAGATGCCAGAATCCTATTTCTTTTTCCACATGAAATTTCCTAATTTCTAAATGTTGGAAACTACATCAGTGGGCTGGACTTGGCCATGAGCTACACGTTCATAATCTCTATTGACCCTTGTGGCACAGACAGCTATGCTCACCAGAATTCCGTGTTCCCCTACATTTCCCAGCCTCCCTTGCAGGTAGGTGAGGCCGTGCCTCAGGTTCTGGCCAGCAGTCATGACTGTAGGAGCCATGGTGACTTCCAGGCCAGGGCAGTTAAGAGCCACTGTATCCTTCCATTTCTCTTCATTGAAGAGGTGCCAACCCTGGAGGCCACATGGTACAGATGGCACAGCAAAGTAACAAGATGGAAGTGTCTGCCCTTCCCTCCACAGACCCCAGGAAGGTAGGTTAGATCTTAGGGTGTGTCAGTGGAGGCAGTCAGGGTTACCTGCACTAGCACACATATGGAGCACATGTCTTAATCACAAAAAACTATGTGGTAGTAGTTTAGCACTTCCTAGTTTTCAAAGAACTTTAACTCCCTTTTCCATGTGTGACTCTCAACTCAGTAAGAAGATAGGATGAGCTTTGTTATTTCACAGAATAGCCCTTGAGCTGTACGACAAGTAAGTGGTGGACTGGGATTCTAGCTCTGGGCTCCGGAGTGAACTTCCTGTCCAGTGTTCCTCCTACCTCCCAACTTAAGAGCTGGCCTTTGCAACATGAACTCCCTGGCACTCTCTGGGTCTATAGTGCGCTCGCACAGGACAACTCACACTCTCCCCTGCGGCGCTAGTTGCTTGAAGATGTGCCTCTTACCTTTCCTGTGGACTTGGTTCCCTTCCAGATACAGAAGTAGCAGATGGTCCAGGCTGCCAAAAGACACAAGGCCAGCTCCCAGCGGAGGTTCCCAATGTGCTCAATCCCATCCGAGATGGCCAGGACCCGGCGCCTGCAGAAGAAAAGGCCATGGGTCACAGGAGCTGGAGAGGGCCTGCCCCAACCAAACCTTGAGCAAAGCTAGTGCTGCAGAGGGGCAGGAACAGCCTGCTCTTTCCTTTACCTACCACCTGCCACCCACCTAGCATCCTCTGAGCCAAACCCAGGGCTGGGTGTGGGGGCCTCAGAGAGGAACAAGAACCAACCTCCTGCCTCCATGGAGTCACTGCATGGGGGGGGAAGAGGGCCCAGTTAGCATACGGTTTACAGGGCAACTTGGTAAGGATATGATGGGAGAAGTGCAGGGCCTTTGGTTAGATCTTCTCTGCTGTTGGTCATGACATAAGCATGTCTTGAGATGGAGCCTCTAGAGCAGTGGTGGGGAACCTTTTTTCTGCCAAGGGCCATTTGGTTATTTATAACATCATTTGCGGGCCATAAAAAATTACAACTTAAAAATTAGCTCTGAAAAAAGCTCCTACGTGTGTTGAATTTCGAGTCCTCTCTGCAGTTGCCTTGGCAGGGCCAGACCAAATGATGTCATGGACCATATACGGCCTGCCCCTGGACCAGAAACCTGAGTTCCTGAGTGACTACATGAACCCTCCTGCCACCCTGTGTCAGAAGTGTTGTGTGAGCAAGAAATGAACTCTGTTGCTTTAAGCTACAGAGATCTTTGGGGGTATTTGTTACTGCAGCATAAACCAACCTATCCTGACTGCTACAGGGGGCCAGGGAAAGCTTCCTGGAAGAAGTGATACTTGAAGCCACTGTGAAAGATGATGGAGTTTAGCCAGGAGGGGAAGGGGTAAAGATTGTTTTAGGTCTAGGGAATAGCATGAGCAAAGGCCAGAAAACAGGCATGGGGTACTTGGGGAATACTAGAGCACAGAGATCAGAGGGAAAAGCAAAAAAGGTAAATAGAGGCATCATCAGAAGCCTTGAGTAGCTTGCCAAGGTGCACGGGTGTCCCAGAGGGCCCAAGCCACGGGAGGGGACCCCTGGGTGTGCTGAGCCAATGCCTCCAGCCACGCCGTCCCTCAGAACTCATCAATTCTTCAGAGTTGACACAGGTCTGGCTCCCAGAGCCCACGCCTGGGGTTTGTGTTTCTTTAAAGTCAAACTCGCCACGCTCCATATTGTGCTGAACCATGGCACCAACACAAACCCCCTCCAAACTTGCTCCACGAACCCCATCCCGGCTGCCAAACCACCCCCACAAGGCCACGCCAGTCGCCTCAGCGCTCTGGGAACGTCCTTTGAGAAAGCAGCTCCCATCCCACCAAGCATGAAAGCCTCCCTCAGTGTCTGTCTCCCTGGGAATCCGCTTGGGGCCTGATTCTGCATTAATTACTCAATGACACCAATTAGCACTGGTCTGCAGGCTCCTTCCAGCCCCAACCCCCACAGGAGAAATCAGGCAGGCCCCCAAACAAAATCGGGCTATGTGCGGCCATGGATTTACTCAAAAAGAAACCAGCTCTCAGACCTATAGCTAGAAGTGGGAACATTCACATAAATATGCATTTATTTAGCAACTACTTGTACCAGGCATTATATTAATACTAAGGTACTATGGATAAGAAGGTACACATGGGATCGTTCTCGTCCTTGACTAGGAAAAGTTAGATACAAAAGAAGTCCAAGTTATTTGAGAAAGATCAGAGATGGCCACATAGTTATAACGATGATTATTTTACTTGCATCTTATATCTTAGCAGTTTCTGGCTTTAATTCATTTTAAAACTACAGGCCTTATTACATGAAACTCTAAAGAATATCTATCATTATAAAAGAGCAGCGGGCCCCAGAGCATGATCCTTGCGGGGTGCTTGCCAAAAGACAAAAATTCCTGTGCCCCATCCAAGACCCCCTGAAGTCCAAATCTTTGTGGAATGGCCCCTGGGAAGCTGCATTTTCCCACCTTTCCCCAAGGATCACTCAAGCACCCAAGGTAAGGCTTGAGCACCACAGAAGTAGTTTCCTGGCAAGGAAGGAATGACCTACCAACTCCACCTAAATAGTTTTCAAACTTTTTTGGGGGGGTGGGGGACTTGGGAGTCAGGGATCCTTTGAGAAGCTACTTTCTCCCCAGAGAAATAACCCGATGCACCACCCCCAACATTCTACAAGAACCTCAGGGGGCTCACTGACCCCCTTGTCTCCAGACTGAGAGCCTGGTAGACAACATGTACCTACCATCTTACAAACTGTCCCCCAAAACGCCCTGAAAGCCCATCAGCTGGTGATGAGAAGGGACAACCCAGAGCAGGAAAGAAAGTGCATAACTGCAGATGAAAAGGACCTGGGTGTGCTCTGTCCCACTCCACCCTAGCTTCTGAATTTTTCATCAAAGAAACACTTACGCAAGAAGGCACCCATATGCCTTCTTGTTGAGGTAGTTGTTCTCTGAACCGGGAAACTGAAAGCTGGAAAAGGCACAGAGATAGAGGGAGAAAGAAGGGAGCAGACCAGCCAGGAATAGGCTGGCGCAGGTCCTCTCTTCCACATTTTGGATGCTGCAAACTTTTGAGTCATGCAGCCTGCATCGGGGCCCTCGCTTAATTGAACAATCTAATTCCCAGAATGGGAAGCAGATTACTAAAAGTGATTTGGGATGAACTGCTCTTTTGTTTCACCAGACACTATTTGAAAACATCCTCAAACTATTTTCTTTAGGCTTTACCAACGCTGACTCTAACTAGCCATGAACCTTGGGTTTCTAAAGAAAGGGGGCTCGTGGGCCAGGTTCTCAGCCTGCAGGGCTGTGGGGTTGTTTTGAAACCCACAAGGGCAGTCTTTGAGAGCAGGGGGGCTGGGCACTCAGCTCTGGGGACTTGGAGAAGGCACAGCTCTTCCTGGGAAAGAGCTTTCTTAATGACCCGCCCCCATGAAGCGCTGGGACAGAAGAAAGGTCTGAATAAGGAAGAGTTTGCTGCCAACACCCTGGCAAAAAAAGGACCCAGGGCCAGACCTCCCAATACCGTTCACGGAGCGGGAAATGTTGAAGACTAGCTGGGGCCCTTTAGAGGGATTCATTTACTTGAGTAATATTGTGCACCTACTGTGAACCAGGCACAAAAGCAGATTCCCCATGAAGCATCTTTTTCAGGCCATAAGAGTAAAATATTTCTGGAGATTTCCACCTAGAGGCTGAAATCTCAGAGGTTGGAGGTATAACGCCTGTGCTTCTCCAGCCGTTGGCACATACAGAGATAGTTGGGCTCAAATTCCTTCCCAGCTGTGTGTCTACCTCTGCTGACAACCAGGTTTGTACTTAGCTGAGCAGGCATGAACTGTCCAGTGGGTTAGAGGAGAAGGCGAAGAATCAGTCTTTTAGACAAGATGATTTTGAGGTGCTTGTGGGACACCCAGGGAGCTGCAATGATCCAAGGCAACTGGGCCTCTGGATGCAAAGCTTAGAAAATAGATACAGGGAGGAGATCAGAGTGTGTCCTAGGAGAGCATGAGATTGCCTGGGAAGCACTGGAGAAGGAGAGGGAGAGGATCTACAGCAGAGCCCCTGGAACCCCAACATCTACAGAGCAGAGAGAGGTAGGGAGGAACCCTTGAAGGAGAGGAGAAGGGTGATCAGATAGGCAGGGAGCAACCAGAGAAGGTGGCATCCCCTAACCCAAAGGGGGGGAGAGGGCATTTCAGAAGGGGAAGCAGCCCATCTGTCAAGTGCTGCAAAGCTGCCTGGTGAGAGGGAGAGCAGCTGTGAAATTTGGGACCAGGAGGGGTGGATGAGGCAAGGAGAGCTGCTTGCCTGGTGGGCCAGACTTCAGATGGTGTAATGAGGAGGAGATGGGAGGTGAGAGCCTGGTGAGGCAGCTCTTTTAAGAAGTTGGGCTCTACCGGGTCAGAGATGTTGGTACCTAAAGGGGCCACAGGACACAAGAGTTGTTTTACATACATTTGTTTTGTTCTCAGGTTGGTGAGGCTGCCGTTGTTAATGGGAAAGAGCCAGGAGGGAGAAAGAAGTTTCAATTACTGGAGAGAATAGGGGATAAGAGAGGAGAGAAGGGGGTAGAAGTCCCAAAGATGGAGGCAAGGAAAGAATCCACAGGTGGAGACATTATTTCTACAGGAACTGGAAGGAAAGAGTTGGGGATACAAAGAGGTGAGCTTAAAAGCAAACTCTGTCCATATTAAGAGAACCTCAGAGGAAGGAACAAGGAGCTGGCAGTGGAGGGGAAAGTGGAAAATGCCACCTGAGAGCCCTCACATCTCTCGACATTGAGCTCTCATTGTGAAAGCATAATTATACAAATTTTACAGGTGGGGAAACTGAGGCCCAGATAGGTGAAGCAACTTGCCCAGATTGGGGCTTGAACCCAGGTTCTTCTGATGCTCACACACTGGCTGCCTTGCCAGAAATCGACCCCAGGGACAGGATGCAGGCTACTCAAGGGCTCTCTTATTCTGCAGTTTCCTCCCTCTCTTTCCCATACACAGAGGGGCCGAGTCTGGAGGGCTGGAAACAGCCTCACACCTGGAGGTGCCCTTCCAGACACTCCAGCTCCAAAGCCAGGAGCAGTTTGACTAGAGGCAGCTGAGATGGAGCAGCCCCCCTTCCCCCATGCCACCCCAGAGCCTGGGAGAGGCCCTGTGGGAACAGCTCCCAGCAAGGCCTGGGGAGGCCTCATCTTTATGTCCAGCACGGCGCCCGCAAACACATCACCTTTCTTAAACCTGCCACAGAGGAAAGTGCTGCCAGGGACGCAGAGACCGCCCTAAAAGCTGGCGCTGAGTAGCTGGGCTATAAATAGCCTCGGTGCTCCTTTCTGGTCTCCCAAAGCAACAAACAAACAAAAAAAGGCCCATCACCAAAACAAATGTGCCTTCCCTGCCCCCTCCAGAATCCCTCCGCCTTTGGGGTTCTGCTCACTTCCCCGGGAAGAAAGAAGTGCAGGCCCCCAACTCTCCCGTGTATGGGGCCTGCTCCTGCAAAACCCACAGCTGAGGCCCTAAACCTGGTGGGGGACTCAGCGCAAGGACCCTCCTAGGCAA